TACTGCATGTATATCTGCATGTACAAGTACTGCATGTACAAGTACTGTATGTACAAGTACTGCATGTATATCTGCATGTATATCTGCATGTACAAGTACTGCTTGTATATCTGTATGTACAAGTACTGCATGTATATCTGTATGTACAAGTACTGCATGTATATCTGTATGTACAAGTACTGCTTGTATATCTGTATGTACAAGTACTGCTTGTGTATCTGTATGTACAAGTACTGCTTGTATATCTGTATGTACAAGTACTGCTTGTGTATCTGTATGTACAAGTACTGCTTGTGTATCTGTATGTACAAGTACTGCTTGTGTATCTGTATGTACAAGTACTGCTTGTGTATCTGTATGTACAAGTACTGCTTGTAAATCTGTATGTACAAGTACTGCTTGTAAATCTGTATGTACAAGTACTGCTTGTATATCTTTATGTACAAGTATTGCTTGTATCTGCATGTGTTGTGCTAAATTTGTTGTTCACACTGAAAAACATTTTGAAAATATTTAGGATGGATGGATGATAAATGGATGGATGACAAATGGGTGGATGATGGATGGATGGATGATAAATGGGTGGATGATGGATGGATGGATGAATGAATTAATAAATTGTTGGATGGATGGATAACTTAACAGACCATCAGAAATTCTTTACATTAAAATCTTCAGTTCACTAAAAAATGTTTAAAATCTGCTTCGGCAAACTGTCTCTATTTTTGTCTTGTACTACTTTTAGTTTTTAGCTGCCGTTTCTCCATTTTTAGCTTCTAGTTAGCCTTTTACTACTTCAAGTTAGTGTTTGGATACTGTTAGCTTCAAGCTAGCCTTATGCTACGTTTAGCCACTCTTTTATTGCTTTTAGCTTCTAGCTAGCATTTTGCTTTATTTAGCCTTCCACTTTTAGCTTTTAGCTACTGTTTTGCTGCTTCTAGCTTCAAGCTAGCATTTTAATAATTTAGCTAGTCTTTTAATCAGCTATTATTTTGCTAATTTGGTTTCTAGCTAACCTTTTTTTTTTTACTTTAGATTTTAGCTACTACTTCTTTGAGCTAACCATTTAATGATTTTAGCAGGTCTTGGCTCCTGTTAGCATTTAGCTGTCCTTTTGCTTTTATCTAGCATGTTGCTACTTTTATGTTTTTGCTAATGCTCTACATCTTTAACTTTACCAACTCAGTTTCGGCTTCTTCAGTAAATTTTATCAAAGACATTAGAGAGTGGTTAATCAGAGTGTCCCCACCCTCCTGTTTGTCGTCTTTAGCTACATGGTGATGCCTTTTGTAGCCCAGGATTTGAGCCACATCATGAAGAAAAAGAGACTGAGCGATCGCATCATCACATACCTCTTTTACCAGCTCATGAGAGGCCTGAAGGTGAGTGATGCTGATTTGTACAGAAACCCAGTTAAATAGTAAAAGAGTTGATTTTATTTTGGCTAAACCTTCTGAGGTGGATACTCGATGGTAGGAGAAGGTGAAGTGGGAGCTTTTACAGCCCAGATTCTGATAAAGTGATTGTGTCACTTTGTTGGTTTTGGGAACACCCATATGCTCATCGAAACAAAGCAAATAAAGGTAGATGGGCAGATTTAATGACAAAGTAACTGCTGAAAGAAGCTGAATGTTCATTTAAAGTCCACTGATGTGCAACAACTGCAACAAGACAGTGGTGAGACCAGCTGTGTTGTGTGGGCTGGAGCCAGAGACACGGACAAAAAGACAGGAGAAAGAACTGGAAGCAGCGAAATGATGATGTTGAGGTTCTCCTTAGGAGTGACAAGGATGGATAAGATTAGGAATGAGATCATCAGAGGTACAGCTAGGCCTGTCACGATAACAAATTTTGCTGGGCGATTAATTGTCTCAGAAAATATTGTGATAAATGATAACATTGATTGAAATTTGACAATAATTAGTAATTGTCAAATTTAAGAAGAAATGTTGGTTAATTTTGTGTGTAGTACCTTTTTGACCCCTAGATGGCAGTATAAGGCTTCTTTTTGCAGGAAAAAACAACTTTTTACACAAATTTTTAGAGCTTTGACAAGACGGAGGTTTTTTCAGAGGTCGGCCTGTTAGCTTAGCCCGTAGCTTAACTTCTCAGCTTAGCTGCTTTTAACGATCATAAAATGTGATTTTGGACGGTTAAAACATATTTTAAAGAGCAAAGAGAAAGGGGTGGGTCAGTGCAGAGCACTGGAGTTGAGCCTTTTGTCATCCAGTGTCTTCAGTAGAAAGAGAGACACAAAGAAACGATAAAGCCGATAAATGAAAACGAGGTCGATTAATTTTCATTCATCATGCGATTAATTGGTTTATTGTTTACCGCAACAGGCCTAGCTAGGTACAGCACGGGTTGAACAACCTGTAAACAGCTTGTTTTTCCACGCACTAAATATCTGAGCTGTAGTCTCACCAGGAATGGCTTCTTTTCTCTTCTCAAGTTCAGCGAGTAACAAGTCTTAACCGAGTCCGTTTAACAAAAGACAGCTGCAGGGCGAGCTGTGACACGTGGGGAGAGATCAAAACAAGCCTTCCAAGAACTGTAGAGCTCTTCCTGGGTATAAATGTTGTGCAAAAAAATCAAAAAAATAAAAGCATAAATAAAGTTTAAAAGCCACAGAAACAGCAATCATACAAATATTTGTCCTTGAAACAACTGTTGCTGCCATAAATTTCAAAGATATTCGTTATTTTTCCAAAAATATGGTACAACTTCCTGTAAATCATCCCATTATTTTCTTCAATCACTTTTTCACACAACTTTTTCAGAGTTATTTCGTACATGTTTGATGTGTTTTCAGTTAAGCGCACGCATGTTTGCACACCTGGTGCATGTGTTTGAACCAGTTGCTTCATGGGCGAGCTCTTTTTGAAAAGTCAGTGCTTTGCAACAGCCAAGATGAGACTTTATGATGTTTGTCTAAATATGACAAGCATGTTTTAGTCTTTTGTGAAACGCATGAGGCTAACACTGGGCTTATGGTAAATCTGAGCTGATGTTTTGCTTTTTATCTGTAGGAAAATAACATTTTAGTGAGTATGCAGTAATAAAAAAATTGTAATGAAATATGTATTGTGTTAAAATTGAATATATAAATTGTCCCATGTGTTTGTGTTTATTTTACACTACTGTATCAGTAAACTGCGGACTCTAAATGTTTGATGATTTAGAGAATATTTAGAGTTTATTTGAAAAAAAGCACAAGTCACCTTGTTAGATGTACTCCTCTGGTATTAATCTCATATTTTGGATTTCCATTTTTCTTGTATAAAGTCTGAGTGCAATGCTTTTCAAGTTAACGGGCGTAAATGCCCAGACTGTGTGTGTCATGGATGTTTGACTGCCTCGCCCTTATTTATTCTTTCCAGTCACTTGTCAATGTGTAACCAGCGATGTTCAGTGGAAATGACCTAAAAGCACAATTCAAACAAGAAAACTGGGAAAGCTTTTTGAAAATAATTCAATTCAGTTTATTTATATGGCACCAAGTCACAATAAAAGTCGTCTCGGGGCACAAAACAAAAACATTCACATACATTAAAAACCCAATTGGTACAAATGATCCATCTAAGGAAGCAGCAGATTGTGTTGAATCATCACTTCCTGATAGTCTCCCATCCTGAGCAAGCACAATGGAGACAGTGGGAAGGAAAAACTCCCTTTTAACAGGAAGAAACCTCCAGCAGAACCAGGCTCGGGACGATCGGCCATTTGAGAGGAACAGGAAGTAGAAACAAACAGACACAGAATTCAATTCAATTCAATTCAAAAATACTTTATTCATCCCAAAGGGAAATTATTTGTTGTTGTAACTCGTTATCCTCGTTTCATTAAGAGATGTTATAGATGCTGATGGATGTAGGCAGGAAGGATCTCTTGTAAAGGTCCATCCCACAGTGGATCCTAAGAAACTGGCTGCAGATGCCGTTCGATCCATCCACCCAGTCTCGGCTGGCCTCTCTGTTCCCCCAGTCTGTAGGACCGCCCGAAAGCCAGGCAGAACTCCTCCCAGAGCGATGGCCACTCCTCCCAGCAGTCTGCCGAGCTCCTCGTCGCTGTGGACAGCCAACTGTAGGTGTCGAGGGACGATCCTGTCCTTCCGCTGTCATGAGCCATGTTTCCTGCTAGTTCCAGGATCTCAGTGGTCAGGCACTCGAGCACAGCTGGCAGGTTGCTGAGAATGCATCCACAGAGCCTCCTTTTCAACTCATTTGAGATTTGTGGCTGTAGTTGAGATATTATTTGAGCTTTTGAGATGTTAATCAGCTGCAGTTGGTTGTAGAAAACTGCCTTGTTGCCGTGGTTACGCATCATAACAAATGTCCAAAACTAAAAAAGTTTCAGTAAACATCAATGACAGGTCCAGGTGAACTTTCTATAGGAGGAAAGACAAGAAACCTGGTAAGATAGAAATAATTACAAATATAAAAGTTTGAAATACAAAACAGGTAGAGTAGAGCAAGTTAAGATGGCAGCAGAAAGAGGAAATGTGGTCCGTTTGTCCTCCAGCAGTCATAACTAAGGGATAGCTCAGGAAACCCAAGTCTACCCTAACTATAGGATTTATCAAAAAGGAAAGACTTACCGGTAAGCCTAATCTTAAAAGTAGACAATGTGTCAGCCTCACGGTAGCGGTGCCGGATCGATCCATGTATTGATAATATCTATACCAACATGGGTATTGATATTGATCAATACCAGTGTAATTAGATCAATACTTTAGCTTCCGTTTCTCTCCTGTGTGCACTGCTGCGGTCTCATCAAAGATGCGAGCTGTAAGTGTCGCTCCTGTCACAGCACAGAGCAACTTGGCAAAGGCAGGCAGGGCCCACAGAGAGGCTGCTGGGAATATCTCTTTGAACTCAAGGCTTTGGAGGTTGTTTTGTTATTTACACTTTAGTTATTGTAATTATTTTTCATTTGTAATTATTTTTTTCAAACCCAGAAAAGAAATTCACTTAAGAGGAGAAATTTAGTTTTATTCCTTTAAACCCTAAATATATTTTACTGTTTAATAACATTTGTTGCGGTGTGATAACTTTGTACAGTTTGTTTATTTACGAAAAAAAAATCCCGAAAAGGAGTGCAATGAAGGGATAATTTTTATTTAATTATCATAGTTTCTGAACACAATGTTTTAATTTTATTCTTGAGTCATCATTTTGTGCACTTTGTTTAAGGAAAAAATCCAGCCATCACAAGGTTTGGGGAAAATTGTTTTGTTACTGTTCTATTTTTTCAGAAAAATACACTTTTATTATAATAAAGTATTTTTTATTTACTTATAAACTTTGCCTAATTCTATCCTGGGTTTTAACTAATAAATGATCCAAAGGAAAAATCACAAAACACTTAAATATCATCAAAATTCACCCTAATAATTTAAAAGTATCGTATCGATATCAGTATCGGCGATACTGGATCGTATTTATTTGATATCGATCGATACCAGATTTTGCAGTATCGCACACCACTGCCTCCCAGACAGAAACTGGAAGTTGGTTCCACAAGAGAGGAGCCTGATAACCGTAAGATCTGCCTCCCATTCTGCTTTTGGAAACTCTAGGAACTAGGGGTTGAACGACTACATCATTTTAAAACTTGACATTAACATAATAAAACTCGAGTAGAACTCGAGTAGTTGATGACGTCATATGATCTCAAGATGAAAAAATAAATAAAACCGCAAAAAAAAAAGTCATTTATTATTTACAACAAAAAATAAATAAAAGACCAATAAAACATTAAGAGTATATTATGCTCCTACCATTTATCATACTGCAAATAAGTCACAGGAAAACCAAACTATTAGTTTTTATTATTAAGCTGCAAAAGTGAAAGAAACGTGCGGCACGTAAAAAACGAAACTTAAAAACAGTGGGGGGGACCACCCCCGCACCACCGCCAGCTGTGGTGCGCATTAGGTTTAGTTTTAGAGATTAATATGTTTATAGTTTTTTTTTTAAGTTTAGAGATTCATATTTTTTGCTTTTTGTTTGTGAAACAAGGTCAGAGGCAGCTGGTTCTGGTTCGGTCGATTGGACCCGGTGTTGCACCATATTCTGTGACCTGCAACAGTGCATGCAACACCACACCCTACGGTCACAATATACGGTGGTCACAGAATATGGTGTAACACCGGTTGGCAACGAGCTCCAAACAGTCAGGAAGTTGATTCATTTTCTGTTTTCTTACGGTAGTTGAACTGGAAGATTCATCTTTAGTGAAATATTTCCATAATATTGACCAGTTTGCCAAGAATGGGCCTGCTCCGCTCCATCCGTCTGCTTGGAGGAATCTATTTTGTAGCCCGCGCCCAGTGCGGATCACGTGACACGTGACGTAATGACGTCACTACGAATACTCAACATGAAATTTAAAAACTTGAGAGATGTCCTAGTAACCGATGTGTAGATTACTTGAGTATTCTGTTAAAACCCTACTAGGAACCAATAAATAAATAATGGGGTAAACCTTCCTTCTCCCACTTGTGGTCAGAAAGTTACTGGTTTTGCCCCCCTTACTGTAACATCCCTTTTCAGATTGGGGGAATGTTTGAATTAGCAGCAATTATTTTAAGATGTTAATTTTGTGTTTTTTATTCTAAGTGTATTTTACTGGAAAAAACCACATACTGCAGCCTTGAATTTGTGATTTTTATTTATTTTTTTTTTTTTTACAGTGTAAAGCCATGAAGCTGTAGGCGTGTCTTATCTGTTAATGTCTGTGTGTGATTTTTCATTCTACACTGAAATTTATCTTGTTTTTTTCTACAGTACATCCACTCTGCAGGGATCATCCATCGGGTTCGTATTTCATTTAATATCTTTAATTTTCATTTAAAAACATCTGCAACACGTTTGTTATTTCATCTCGTTAAAGTGGCTTCATGTCTTTTAGGATCTGAAGCCTGGTAACCTTGCTGTGAGTGAGAACTGCGACTTGAAGGTAAGTTCAACGTCACAATTTCTCACTAGCTCAGTATTTGATTTAAAAAGCAGTGCAAAGTCGTAAAAATGCAGGACTTGAAGGCCTGGGATCGCCTGCCACCTTTCATTCAAGAATATTGGTCTAACTTTGAAAATAAGAATGTGTGGTTTCATATAAAATTGTGAGGTGTTGAGTAACCTGTTGGAGCTCAAAGCTGAGGTTATCAAAAACTCTCAGCTACTACTCCACCAAATATTAGCCCAATATCTATAAAACTGACTGAGTTAAAGTGATTTTTGTAAGCTCAGTTGGCTGTGGCAGCCATCTTGAATTATCTTGGCTCCAAAAGCTAATCAGCTAGAGATGTACATCACTTACTCAGAGTTTTATTCAAATCTGTGAAGTGGTTAATGAGATATTTTGCTAACAGACTAACAGGGTTGACTACAATAGTTAATGGCAAAGTTTTTAACAAAGATCTTGTGTGATCATTTAGCACTCAATTTGTTATCAATGACTATCAGTTACTACTCAACCAAGTGTGTTTAATATATATGAAATTACCTGAGCTGTAGCCATTATTGTGTTTTCAAATGTCAATTGAATGCAACACTCATCTTGAATCTAATTGAATCCAAATTGACGTCATCTGTTGTAGATGTATTTCCTCCAGGTCTCATGGAAATTTGTGTTCTAGTTCATGAGATATTTTGCTAACAGTTAGACAAATGCATATAAATTCATACGTAATGGCTAAAAACAATATTGCCCACATTCGACGGTGGCCATTTAAATAAAATAACTTTATTCTGATTTTCCTCAGATTCTGGATTTTGGCTTGGCGAGACAAACGGAGAGCGAGATGACTGGTTATGTTGTGACACGCTGGTACAGAGCACCAGAGGTCATTTTCAACTGGATGCACTACAGTCAGACAGGTAACAACGTGAATACACCTTTAACCACTGTTTGAAACGTACCTCAAAATTAAAGCACAATATTTCAAACTGCATTTTTCTAGATACATTTCTCCTCCTGATTGTCTTACAGTTGATGTCTGGTCAGCCGCTTGCATTCTGGCTGAAATGATCACCGGTCAGGTGCTTTTCCCAGGACATGACAGTATCCACATTTTGTTAATTACATCACCCTAACATAATTAAAATGTTTAAAAATGAACTATTATTTGAAATGAGGCTTAAAGGGACATTCATGTAACTGTAGACATAAATATGTGCTCGTGCGTCTTCATTAGGGTCAAATGAAACGTCTGAATGTTTTCTAATTGACTGAGAGGAAAAATAGAAAAATGTTTCACATGACGTCTTCAGAGCAGTTGTGGTTTAAGCAATTGGATATCTGTAAATAAATAATAATAATAATAATACAACCCCTATTCAGAAAAAGTTGGGTTGTTGTGTAAAATTTAAAGAAAAATAAAATACAACGGTTCGTAAATCTCATAAATTCATATTTATTCGCAATGGAATGAGCCAAAGGTCGTTTAAAATGGACTGAAGCTAAACAGAAAACTGTTGCGTTCTGATGATTCAGAATATGAAATTATTTTTAGAAACCGTGTCCATCGTATCCTCCATGCTAACGAGACAAGGGACTATCCAGCTGGTTATCAGCACACAGTTAAAAAAAGCCTGCCTCTCTGATGGTATGGGGGTGCATTAATCTCAAATCCCCACCCCCTCCCAACCTGGATTAATAAAGCAACTATCCGTCCATCCATCCCTTTATCAGTCTCTCACACTCTCTCTCTGTCTATCTTTATACCTATCTTTCTCTTCATATCTGTCTGTTATCTTTCTCATTCTATCTCTATTTCATTCTCTTATCTTTCTCTCTGTATCTATCTCTCATCTCTTCTTTTTCTCTTTATCTTTCTCTATACATATCTCTCTATCTTGTCTTTCTCTCTGTATCTCTGTATCTCTTATCGTTCTCTTTCTCTGTCTCTCTATATCTCTTAACTTTCTCTCTCTATGTCTCTATCTATTTATCCCTACTGCATCTGGCGTGGACTGTTCACACATCTGGAATGGCTCCATCAATGCAGAACACTGTGTTCCAGGTTTAGAACAACGTGTCCACTAAAGAAGACCAGGACTGTTGAACAGCTACATGTAGAAGAACGGGACTACATCCTTCCAGAAACTCCAGCTGCTGGTCTCCTCGCTTCATAGATTTTTACAGATTAATGTTAAAACTTGACCCTAGAACAACATTTTTGAGATCTGTTGCTTCCACAAAACTCCAAATTAACCTTTTTTTTAAAAAATTATTTTAAACGGCACAATTTCTTAGTCCCAGCATTTGATATCTTTACTGTGTTCCATGTGAATAAAATGCTGCTTTTCAAAACATTTTACTCGATGTCCTCATGTATCGTGCGTGTTGGGTTTTCCTCGACTGACATGTTCAGGCATTGATCAACTGCAGAAGATCCTCAAAGTGACCGGAACACCAGACCCCTCCCTGGTGCAGAAGATGCAGAGTAAAGATGTGAGGTTTCCTCAGCGTGCACACTTTACTCCTCACCAGTTGGCATAATAACTGCAGGAAGCTGCAAGTCCAGATTTCCATGTTCATATTGACGTACGTGTATTTTGCCTGTATTTTGTTTTTCAGGCCCAGACGTATGTGAAAGGTCTCCCTTCACAAAGAAAGAAAAATTTCAAGGAAGTGTTTTTGACGATGGATTCAAGCGGTGCGTTGTTACTAGAACGTGCACACTGATTAAAAACAACAACAACTAAATCACTATTTTAATGTTTCTAAAAATACTTTTGTGTCCTAACAGCAAGAAAACTAAGTGGTGCTTTTGGTCTTGCTGTTTCCAGCTGTTAACCTTCTGGAGGGGATGTTGATGCTGGACCCAGAGAAGAGGCTGACGGCCAAACAGTGTCTGTCCCACCCATTTTTATCTGAATATCACGACCCAGCGAGCGAACCAGACTCTAATCCTTACGACGACTCCTTCGAGAGCCTCGAGCTCGACGTTGGTGAATGGAAAAGTGAGTATCTCAGCACACAAACGGCTCGAGTTTACTGCGGTTACGTACTTTTAAAGCCTAAATCCTAAAAAAGACATTAACGGCATTTTTTTTGTTGCTTTTTTTCTAATCTCCAATCAGGTCTTATCCACATGGAGATCATGACCTTTGATCCTAAGGATCCTTGCAAGACAGCCATGTAGGACTCCTTTTTACTCCAGCTGTCAAGACAAGTTCATTTTGGCAAGGACATTTCACAGAGCAACCCAAGCCCAGAACTCCTGAGGAGTCCTCATAAGCTCCTCCCACTGCGGGACTGATCGTCTGGCTTTCGCAAATTTGTCGCAAAGCTAACGTTAACAACAAATGCTGTCCTTTAAATACAGCATTTAGGCTTCCTCTTTCCACCAATTAGCTATTTGCATGTCTTTATACGCCTTTAAAGAAATGTTATACAAGTTTTTGTACTTCCTCACTGCCTTGGCCAGCTGCTCCTCAAAACTCGCGGGAAAATGGGAATGTAAACCTTTCCGCTTTAAATCCACCTGCCCACTTCAGAGTTCTGACCCAGTAGTTCTCAGACACCACGATTATGTGTTGAGAACAAGCTGTAAAAACTTAGAAACCAGAGCTCCGTGGGGGGAAAAAACAATGATGCCGTTATTTTTCTCACAGCCCTGGGAGAACAGATTTCTCACTTCTTGCAAAGTATGTAGCACCCTGAAGTGTGTGTGTGAAGTGTTTGTTATACGCCTGATTGTCGCTTTTCGGCGAAATTTGCCGATTTCAAACAAAATACGTAATTTACGTGAAGCCTATAGATCCAAAGATCTAACTAGGTTAAGTCAGGTACCCTGGACGGATACTTTTTTGTTGAAACATTTCGTCTTTTACCCAAAAGACTTCTTCAGACTGAGCTCTTGCAACAAACTCAGTCTTATAAATAGCACCTTCTCAAAGTTGATCAACCATTTTGCTGCTGACAGCCAGAACCAGCTATTCACATGCAAAAGGAGGACCATCAGCCTAACAATGGATCATTAGTGCCCTCATGGCCGCTTGCAATTCAAGCTAGCAGCCGGATCTATTCTATTATAGATCCGAAGCGTTTTGGAGGGTTTTTGTTCAGGGGCGGGCAGGTGTTTCAGAGGCGTGGTAGAGAGCATCATTTCCCATTGACTGGACTTACAAGGTTCTGTCTACAATAGGCAGCACAACAGCTCAGTGGTTAGCACTGTTGCCTCATAGCAAGAAGGTCTTGGGTTCAATCCCTGGTTGGACCTGTGGTCTTTCTGTGTGGAGTTTGCATGTTCTTCTCGTGCTTGTGTGGGTTTTCTCCAGGTACTCCAGTTTCCTCCCACAGACCAAAAACATGCATGTTAGGCTGCTTCAGGTCCAGGCCTCTCTTGCAAAAGAGATCTGTGATCTCAGTGGGATTTGCCTGGTTAAATAAAGGTTCATATTAAATTAAAATAGAACATCTTTGGTGGAACGCGAGTCATTTGGCCAATCACAATCAAGACAGGCGATGGCGAAATCTTTCCCAAGCTGGTCTCAGTTATAACTAGTCACTGCTAATGTTGGACACGGTTAGGTTTGAAGTAAGTCTAGTTATCTGCCAACAAAGTTTAAGTAAAACTTGATTTATTGAAAAATAATACTACTTCAGCAACGTTGTGTCATAATCCGTTACTGTTTTCAACGTAACGTTATCTGTAAAAGAAAGCGTGTCAGCATGTAATGTTAGCTTGGATGCTAGCATCCATTGCTGACATAGCTAGCAATGCTGGCTATGTCGGCTAACATCAGTGAACTGCGCGTTAACGTTGGCCTACAATGCCACTCAGTTCAATGCAAATAAATTTGGGAAGCTATCTCTAATGCATCCAAAAAAGTTCAATCTGGTTCTCTGGACATTCAAAAAAACAAAACAAAGAATTTTTTGAGCATGCATCAGAATATCGCTAATGCACTGAATGCATCCGTATTTGTTGTCCGATAATAATGCGTCATCTTTATAAGATAAGATAGAACTTTATTGATCCCGCAGGAAATTGTTGAAGATAAGAGGAATGACAACTAAGACGTAACATTGGTGCCAATGAAACATGACACACCAGTGTTTAAGTGATTGAAACATCTGCTCTGGTGGATTATTAGAGGATGTAGGGACACACACACACACACACACACACACGCTCTAGGTTTGTTTCCTTTATCATCCCTTCTGAGTTTGCAGGTACAGTTATAACACTTTGTGAACAGGTCAAGAACGCGTTAAAAAGCAGCCTGAACTTGCGTCATTGTGTTTTTGTCACCAGGTACGGTGGCCTGTAGAGTCCAATAGAAAACAGAAAAAGGAACTTTCTCAAGAAATGTGTTCATTCTGTTCACTGCAGTCGACCTGAACCACTCACCTCAAATTTATGTCTCTTCATTTAAATACAAACAAAAGTGTTTTCTTTTGTTTTAACTTTGCTATAAATGTATCGTCTGATTGTGCCACACTGACTCGGAGGCTTCGGGACAAAAAGGAGAAGCATTTTGGATTTTAGTTACTTGATCAACCACAGCACTGTGTATTTGGAGATAGGTGTGGAAAATATAAACTTTATAAATCCAGGAAAATGATCCTGCAGTGGAACTGTATTTAGTCACAGACACATGTGCACGAACTGCGCAGTTTGATGCACAAAATATTTGGAATTTGTGCTGAAGATTTTATTTTGTTGGCGCGTCATGTATTAATCATGTTTTTTCTCGTTTTTATTTTGGGACCTTTATATGTGTTCAGTGTTATTATTCACGTCTGTCAGTACTTTTTAAATAAAACGCATCCTAAATACGTTTCAACAATCTAAAAGGTGAGTGTGTGGATTATTGGTTGTGTCAGTGTTGGCCCTAAAATGGACGGATGATTTTTTTACAAAGTTTCAAGAACTGCAAACTTTTTGTCTATTTATGTTGAAGGATGCAGAACAGCTGCTGCCCCAAACTCTGCACAACATCCTGATGAGCTAATCTCAGACAAACCTACATTTTGATTAATATACTGTACTGTATTTACAAAGCGTGTAAAGAAACAACATAAATCTTATGTAAAATTAATAAAACGTAAACAGTTGGTTTAAAAATTGTTAAAGTATTAAAATGCCAGTTCAGTCATGTAAAGTCCAACTTTATGCAACTTGTTTTATTGTGCGAATGCTGTGAAGCATTCTATTGTTTTCCTGTTTATATTCATTATTCCTGGCTGTTACCACCGTCCCTATTCTGTGCGTTTTTCAACACGATTCTCTTCCTGCAATTTCAAGCTATGTCAACAATTTAGGTATTAAAACTTTCAGCCACTGCTAGGACTGTTGGTGTTGGTGCAACTTTAGCTTTTTGAAATATTTAGCCTTTTTATTTCTCATATAAAATGAATTGAGCTCATTTTACATCTTTAGATCTGTTTACAAACTTTTACTGCTCCTTTCACATTTTGTTCTGTTTCGGCTTCTTTCAGCTTCCTTGTGCAAACTTAAGCTTCTTTCTGCTAATTTCAGCTTTTTAATACTCCTTTCAGCTTAATTCTACAAGTGTCAGCTTTTTCTGCTATTTCGGCTTCTATTGAGCTCTTTTTCTGCAAATTTAAGGGGGCTAATTTCAGGCTTTGTTCAGAGAATTTCCACTTTTTTGGGTTCATTTCTGATTCTTTCAGCCTAATAGGGCAAACATGATCTTTCTGCTTTCTTCTACTAATTTAACATTTTTAGCTAATTTCAGCTGTTTTCAGATTAATTCAAGTTTTTCCATGGTAATTTCTGCTACAGTCTAATTTACTTCTTTATAGTAATTTCAGTTTGCTTTGCTCCTTTTAGTTTTGGTCTGCTGGTTTCAGCTTTTTTTCTGCTATTTCAGCTACCGTTTAGCAGTTTTATGCTAATGTTAGCATTTTCAGCTAATTCCACATTTTACAACTCATTTCAGCTCTTTCTACTTCCTTCTGGTAGCTTAAGCTTCTTTTTGCCTTTTCAGCTACTTTATAGCTCTTATTTTTCAGATGTTTTAATCTAATTTCCTAAATTTTGTGCTCCTTTTAGCTTATTTAAACATAATTCGGCAAATGTGTTCTTCTGCTAAATGGGCTTAGTCTTCCATTTCAGCTACATTTCAGCATGTTGTTTTTTAGCTAATTGCAGCTGTTTTTCAGCAAGTCGTTCTCCAATAAGCATTCATACTGCATTTTCACAGGAAATGCAATTCATAAGAAAAAGTATTTTTTTAAATGCTAGTTGTTGTTTTTTATAACTTACAACAAAACATTCTGCACACTTTCCAATCAAACCATTTTCTGTATATTTCACATGCTTCATTGACTTAACACTGGAGAAACAAAGCTTAGTAATAAAGGTGCTTCCCTGTTGTTGCATTAACATTTTTAGTTTATGTTCCTTAGTTTCCTCTTGTTGAACAGTTTACAACAAATGTCAGATGAACTGGCAGTGTGGTCCACATCCTCCTCTTTTCAGAGTAACAAGAGTTTCACAGATCATGGCCTCTTGAAACTTCTAGTTCTAGTCGATCTGTTGCTTTCTTCGGTGTTCTAGTGGATACTAAAGAGGCTCCAGGGAAGTCTCTGAAGGAGCTGCTAGAAACAAAAAGTGCAAAACTGAAAACATTAGATTCAAGTTACCCCGAGTTTGAGGCAGAGGAGGAGCCAGGAGGACAGCAAAACTGCACGCATCACATCGTAAACCTTCAACATACAAACCAAACCTTCATCCACTTCCACAAACCCAGTTGGGACACACACCGAGACCAGTTCTTCCTCAACTGGGCGAGGGTATCTAATGGTAATATAACACCTGATGACCTTGAGATCCTCTACTGAGGATGCGCCCTAAAATTCTAATTAACCCGAGGACACTTCGCTAAGAAACTTGAACAAACGCATCAAGGTTCACACTTAAACTCTCGGGCTACACAAACAGAACGGGATCCAGATTGACATGAACCAGCTTTGAGCCTCTATTCGAAACAGATTCTGGTTCTAAGTTTGTCATGGAATTATCCAGAGGGGATGAGCAATAATGTTAAATATAAAATAAAAACACCTAACCCTACCTGCTCGCCGAGAGGCTGCAGCTCTACCAACTGAGCTGCCCGTTTGCTCATTTATGTCAAATATAAATGCACATCTGAGCTTTTACTGCAATATTTAGTGTTTGTCATATAGGTGGTGCTTGTTTAAAAACGTTTAGAAGTACTGTGTCTAATGTCTGATATACTGTGTACTGTTAAGTAAAGAATTTCACTAGAGGGCAGCATTTAATCACAACAGGTGTAGCCAGGCTGTTGGAACTGCAGCAGAAAGACTGTGGCTGGTGGAGTAACCATTACTACATGTCTCATTCACTTCTGCAGGACTGCAGTGATTGGTGGTATTATTATTTAGTGGTTTTTCATTAGAAACAATTTTATTAAAAATAACAGTGACTAGTTGTTATTTAGGATCTTGTTTTGACACCTCATGACCACAGGTGAGGGTTGGAACATGGATGGAACAGTACATTAAGAGCTTTGCATTTTGGATCAGCTGCTTCTTCACGACCGGAGCAACATCCTCATTACTGTGCATTACAGTGAACAAAGGTTAATTCTTAGGTCTATCCTCCCATCGTTTGTGCACAAGACAAGCGCAAGTTTTTCAGAATTCTGAAAATAAACTCATTTATAAAATGTTTAAATTACAGAACATCCACTGAACTATGGGGGGGGGGGGGGTCTCTCCACAAAATCTACAGATTTAATTTATTACAAAATTAATGTCATACAAACTGCATTTTTCTTGAAACTCTAATTTCTGAATCAGAAATTAACCCACTTATCATCTACTGATTTAATATGTGTGTTGAACTGAGGGGTTGTGGTGCAAAATAAATTAAGCCACATGGTTTTTGTTTGTTTGTTTGTTTTATTGTTGTTTTTTACTATTTTTTTTCTAACTTTAACTTGTGAAGTTAGGAAAAACAATGACCTTGAAGGTAAGCAAAGATTTAAACGTCTTCCGATGCTGATGATTTATTTATTTAGCAAACTACTTGTTTAGTGAAAACTTGCTCTACAGCTTTGATATAATCTTGCAGATAAGCAGTAATAGTCAGAGGAAAAACAATCCTTGTTTTTAGAACAGAAAACCTCTAATACCAGTAAAATATTGGACCACACCCTTCATAAGAACATTTTTTATGCAACAGTTGTATTATAAGTTACAAAGTGAAAAAATGAAGGATTTGGTGGAGAAACTGAAAGTGGCTGCAGGTGTGGTTCACCTCATGCTGTAAAGAATTATAGCATGAGGTGAACCACACCTTTTTTCATTTTTATCTCCAAAACAGCATCATGAGCACCATATTTCCCAATAATCCTGCAACAAACACTTTTGAGGCATGGAATCAGGAAGTGTGTTTAAATTGTATGAAAAATGATTTTGGAAATCAAACTATTGTTTTTAGAGTTTTTGCAATCTAACGACTGTATTTCAATATAACTTGTACATTTTTCAAAATATTTCCTTACTTAAAAATGTTTCCCCACAAAAAATACGCTGAGGTCTCTTAAAAGCCATTGTTCTTATTGTGCTACTTTTTAGCTACTATTCTGCTACCTTTAGCTAGCCTTTTGTTCTTTTAGCAACTAGCTAATTCTTTGCCATTTTTAGATAGCATTTTTCTACTTTTAGCTAGCAGTTTGTTACTTTTAGCTAATATTTTTCTACTTTAGAATCTAACTGACCTGTTGCAGGTTTTAGATAGCATTTTTCAACTTTTAGCTTGCAGTTTGCTACTTTTAGCTTGCTTTTTGATACTTTTAGCTAGTATTAACCAGGCAAATCCCATTGAGATCACAGGTCTCTTTTGCAAGGGAGGCCTGGACCTGAAGCAGCCTAACATGCATGTTTTTGGTCTGTGGGAGGAAACCGGAGTACCCGAAGAAAACCCACGCAAGCATGAGAAGAACATGCAAACTCCACACAGAAAGACCCCAGGACCAACCGGGGATTGAACCCAGGACCTTCTTGCTGTGAGGCAACAATGCTAACCACTGAGCAACCATGCTGTCACTTTAGACCCTAGCTAACCTTTTGCAGTTTTTATTTAGATAGCATTTTTCAACTTTTTAGTTAGCAATTTCCTTGTTTTAGCTAGCCTTTTGGTACTTTCAGCTAGTCTTTTGCTGCTTTTAGCAAGTACCATTTCAATCAGTTAAGCTTTTACAGTAGTTATCTTTTTGCCACATTTAAGTTTTAGCAAAAATGTTGTCATTTTTAGCTATCCTTGTACAACCTTTGGCTTTCAGCTACTCCTTTTTTTCCTTTCAGCTAGTGTTCTGCTCATTTTAGCTTTAATAACTCAGTTTCAACTCAAGCAAATGTTAGCAAATTCTTTCAGAATTAATCATCCACAGTTGGTTTTAGCAGAAAATGTGTTCTGCAGAATATGGAGGCTTCATAAAAGGGCGAAGAAGCAAATCAAACGAAACAAAGCAGCAATGAACAAGCTTTGCACAAATTCAGATCGCTTCATACTGTAAAATCTTTGCTGCAGACAAGTGTCATGCCACACCTGTCACCTTTCCCGCACTCCTGTAAGCTCTGGTTCTGTTTCTGCTCAGGCATGTTTGCATTCATCTCTGCCTACTCATACTTTTGGCAGGCTTGCGTCCTCTTTTCAGAGGCATATGTGGCGTGTTCACTGAGCTGACAGCACTTGCCAGAATCTGCTGAACTGCCATCGCCTGAGGCTGTCGGCAGGTTTGTTTTCCATGCGCCTCCTACATATCTCTGTATATATGTACTGCTACGTCTAAATCAATCTGTTCAGTCGAGATACTCGAATGGAATTTAAATTGAGGATTAGTCATCATCACAGGACAGGTATAGTATTTGCTTTTAGGTGCTTTGAGTTAATAAAATACACAGCTTATGAATAAACATCTACAAAGGCACGCTCCATCTGAGTGAAGTAGTAATATTACTCCAAAATAAACAGATTTTAACAGACGAGTAAATAATGCGACAGTTGCAAAACCAAAACTGATGCTACGAAATTAAAAAAATAAATATATTAGTATTATTTAGTTCTAGAAACTCGATGCATTCACACTTTAATTTTGCAATAAAAGAGGAACATATTTTGCATTAAAAAGAAATAATGGTTTTGGGTGAGTGAATAACCTTTCGTTCACAATTTTGTTTTTGTACACATACATCTAGTGTACACTTTAGATCATTAAACTCTAAAATCACAAGCTGCAGATTTGTCCAAACTTTCAGTGATAGGTGGGTGTCAGTGTAGCCTTTGCATGGCTCATTAGGTATCTAGTATTATTGGGTTTATATTATTATTAAACCCTGTGACTGCAAAGACACTGCATTGTTTTTCATACTGAAAGACAGAAATCTGTCTATTTTTGTCTAAATCTGACAAATATGATTTTAGTTTTATTTAAGTTAGTTTTGACCTTTTCATAACACCCCAAATTAAATTTTGAACAAAACCAGTTCGCTGAAGCAGAAATTAAAAAAACGCATGAGTCAAAATGAATTTTAACACAGATTTATTCCAGATGTTTTGATGGTACAATTCACAATAAATCTGGTAGTCAGCCTTATACATCCTGTTTGTACTGTTGTTGGTCTAAGTAGAAATGGAAACAAAGCATGATCAAACACCGTTATTTTGGACAGAGGAGAGATCATTTTTTCTTAGAACATACAAAGGAATAAAAGAAGCACTCGTGTGTGAAGTGTGGCTGCTTTGCCAGATGTTAAACTGCACGAAATGACGTGTGAAGTGAAACTGCATGAAGGAGAAGTCAGAGGTGTGCCTCTGCACAAGTGCCTGTCATGTTTAAGACTGAAAATACATGCACTTCGCCTAAACTGTCTCCCTGTGCTCACCTGTTTGTGCAGTGACTGTTGCTTTGTGAGGACTCTTTGTTGTAGCACTACAAGAACGTTTTTCTTTACGTTATTCTCTCCGTCTGTACAACAACACATCCAGCAACATAAAGACAGCCGGGCTGACTGATGAAAAGAAGACTGGACTGACTCGTGTCTCTGTGGCTCGTTATCTTTGCTTTAACATTTGTCTGCCTCTGCTTATTTGGATGTAATCTCTGACCCTACATGGAAATGTCAGCTGTAGGTGATCAACTAAACAATATTCCCGAGGCATCTCTGTGTCTGCGATCAAAGGTGCAGGTTTGGTGTGGTGGGTGGTGGTTGGAGAGAGGAGGAGCAGAAAAGGGGAAGAACAAGGAAGAGAAGGACATTTAATAACGGCGTCCTGATGAGAGGAGGGAGCTGCTGCTCCTTGCGCTCATGGAGCTCGAGCCGCTGCCGTAACCTCCGCCGTAACCTCCGCCGATTCCGCCGCCAATTCCGCTGCCATAACCACTGCCAAAGCCGCCGCCCATGCCTCCGCCCATGCCTCCGCCCATGCCTCCACCCATGCCTCCTCCGAAGCCTCCTCCCATGCCTCCTCCCATGCCACCTCCTGAGCTGCCACCTGTTAATGAGAATAACATCAATGAGTTATTGAGGGTTGACAAGGTTCTTGTTGGGGATTTTTCCCCTAAATTTTCAAAGCAACATGTTCATACATACCGAAGCTGGTGGTTGAGGACTGTACATGGATGGTGGCGTTTCCACCTCCAGTGCCAATTCTGCAGAGACCACAGACAAAGACATTTAGCATTGACAGCCATCGCTACCGATGCCGCAGGAAATTTCAAGTAGCTGAGACCTTACCTGGATTCCTCTCCTTCCAGAAGCTTCTTGTAGGTGGCGATCTCAATGTCCAGAGCCAACTTGACGTTCATGAGCTCTTGGTACTCGCGGACCTGGCGAGCCATGTCCTGTTTGGCTCTCTGCAGGGCCTCTTCCAGGTCCTTGATGCGTGCCTTGGCGTCCTTCACAGCCAGCTCTCCGCGCTCCTCGGCCTCAGCGATCTGGGCCTCGAGGTTGGCGCGCTGGGAGGTTAAAAAATTAAGCAGAAGTTTCACATGTGACAATTCTCATTCAGAAGTTTATCTCGAAGTGACTATCACAAGGTTTTTTTTGGGTTTTTTTTACCTGTGCTTTGACTGCCTCAATCTCGTTCTGGAGGCGGCTAATCATGCGGTTGAGCTCAGCAATCTCGCTCTTGGTGTTGCGAAGGTCATCTCCAGCCTGTGATGCGGAGGTCTGCATCTCCTGGAACTGAGGAGATAAGATCAGAAATAACTGTAAGTACATATTTCATAGAATATATCAGCTTGTTGGTATTGCAGACTCTCTTCTTACCTTCTGTTGGTACCACTTCTCAGCCTCAGCCCTGCTGTTGTTGGCAATCTCCTCATACTGTGCCTTGACTTCAGCCACAATGGCGTCCATGTCGAGGTTGCGGCTGTTGTCCATCTCCACAATGACGGAAGTGTCCTTGATCTGTCCCTGGAGTTCACGCAGTTCCTGCACACAACATATATGTCATTTTAAAACACAGAACCCGTAGATTTCAGACAGTTTGGGTTATTTATGTAGCCTTCAGTGAGTTTTACTTACAGCATCAAAGACAGCTCTGAGGAAGTTGATCTCATCCTGAAGGGCGTCAACCTTTGCCTCCAGCTCAACTTTGTTCATGTAGGCACCATCTACATCCTGAAAGAGGAGACGTGGTATGAGTTTGTGGGAGGCCTCAGGCAAATCAATAATTCATGCGTCGTTTTTTTGTGTAGAGGACACATGAATGAACAACACTGTCACAGCATATCAGCCCTCACCTTCTTGAGGAGCACAAACTCATTCTCCACAGCTGCACGCTTGTTGATTTCATCTTCATATCTGACGAACAAAGAGTCACAAGGTGTGAGCGCCATCTAACGTAGGATTGCACTGTCTTCAAAGACTCGAAACTCACTTGTTCTTGAAGTCCTCCACCATTCCCTGCATGTTCTTCAGCTCTCCCTCCAGCTTCATCTTCTCGTTGCCAAGCCCGTCCAACTGTCTGCGCAGGTTGGCGATGTAGGCCTCGAACATTGCATCAATGTTGGAGCGTGTTGTGGTCTGATCTTGCAGCAGGCTCCATTTGGTCTCCAGCATTTTGTTTTGCTGCTCTAGGAAGCGGACCTAAACAGACGTTTGCCATAGTTAGAGTCACTGTAATTGAACAGATACTCCTAACATGTCTTCATTCCATTTCCCTTATCGTAGGACACCTCTGTGTGACATTCCCACTGTTACTAGCTTATGTGTACAAAATACTGTCAGTTGCCATGTTTACCACTCCCTGAAGGCAGAGATGTTCTAGATGCAAAGTTTTTCAAAAGTATAACTGAACATTACTTTCTTTAATGAGAAAGAAATGTTTAATACTGAAAATATACTCTTGTTTCTAAAAAACAAGGTGCAATTACTGGGAATTAACCCTAGAGGTAATTTTTGATTGTAATAGTGAACATTTTTTTAAGGTTTGCCACACCTCAGTTTTGCCCCTCCCCTTTAACCACCTGACATTGGTGTGTCTTTGTCTTAAGGTGCATACTTTCACTGAGTGAACATGCCTGCAATTAATGGATCACGCCTGAAGCTACTACCTGTCAGCCCAACTGAGTCACTTAAAATATACCACCCCTGTTACAATTTGATTGAATTTAAAAAAGAAGAAGCTAAATCTACATTAAACAAATTTAATCGATCACTTACTGCTGCTTCTACATGCATACATCCTTTTGTATGAATTTAAAAATAGAAAAGTGACTGAAAACACTTGATGAGGTCACCTGTCTGAGGACATTTAAGGTGTGGTGTGTACACAGCAGAGAAAGCCAACAGAGCACTTTCTCACACAGGGTGTGGTAAATGTTTTCACCACATAGAATCTTCATTTAAAGTGTTCTGATCCTGCACCAAAGTACAGATGAGTGACTGGACAAATAAATATTGAATCGGGCCCCCAAAACCCTAATCAAATACTACAAGTTTTTGCGGAGTTTATGCACAGGAATGTCATTTTAAAAGTGCAATGAATTCAGCCAACTTTCTTAAAGTTTTTGCTGCTATGGGAACATGTGTTAACTTGATCCTCTATTCCTCTACTGCAGAAAGCCACAAGTCACTCGATACGGCCACTCTAGTGTTTCCTGCCTCCAACTCTGCACGGAGACAGCTGGCAGAAGGCCAGTCAAATGAAATTTAGAAAGCAGTAGTCGGCTTTCAGTTGGCGAACAGTAGGTACACTTCATAGTTTCTAGAGATGAGATGTGTCTACACTGCAGTTTAAATGACAGTGCTGATTATATTTAACTGGTTAGCACAAATCTTCAAGTTGTGGATGCATGTTAAGTTATATTAAATAACTTAAGTGATATTTTAGACAAACTGCAGCAACTAATTTAATTGTTGAGCAATACTTCCTTCATTTACAGTTCATTCAAAGTAGTGTACATCAATTGGATATAAATGAGCGAGTTCTTTGTTTTTTACTCACCTTGTCAATGAAGCTGGCGAAGCGGTTGTTGAGGGTCTTGATCTGCTCTTTTTCCTGGGTGCGGACTGTCTGGATGTTGGGGTCAATCTCAAGGTTCAGAGGAGCCAACAAGCTTGGGTTGACTTGGACATTTGTGATTGTAGCAGGCACTATCATTCCTCCTGCTCCACCTCCGAAGCCAGAACTACCACCAAAACCACCTCCGCCAAAGCCGGCACCACTGCCAAAGCCGGCACCACTGCCAAAACCACCGCTAAAACCGGCACCACCGCCAAAGCCAGAACCACCACCACCAAAGCTGGCACCACCACCAAAGCCAGAACCACCACCATATCCGCCGCCACCACCACCCATGCTTGACCTCAGTCCTGAGCCAGAAGCGCTGAGTGAGGACACTGAGAAAGATGGTCTGTTTGATGTAATGGCAGATCTTGAGGTAAAAGATCGGCCACCGCCAAAGCTACCTCCACCTCCACTATAGCTGGTCCTGGTAGTTTTCGAGTATGATTTGACCGACATGGCTGGTCTAGATTCTTCTGAGAAGTAGGGAGAGAAGTGGGAGCAGACACAGAGAAAGGTTTGGCAGAGAAGTGGAGCACACTAAGAGGAGAGCCAAGTCCCTCTGAGTACCTTCTACCTGTCCGCCACAGGTATTTATCTGCCTCCAAGTGGAGGAGGTCCTAAAAAGGTCAGCCTTCTCTGTGCCTCCTCCCCAGCTTTCATCCAATTACTTGGTTTCTAGGAGGTTAGCTTGAAGGCAGACCGACAGGCTTAGAGTAGCGCAGCCTGTCAGACAGGTAAGAGTACCGCCCTTGTGAAGTGATCTGGGCTCGACACACCCAGATGCTCACGGAAGAATGTCACTGGTACTGAAGGCAAGGAGTGGGTGCAGACATTTTGGAAAAAGTTTTACTTCATTAGGTAGGGAAGAGTAAAAGGGAGAGGAACTTCAAACCCTTTAAGAACCTGCCAGTTACAAGAACCAAGAACCCACCAATTTATTTTGCAAGACTTTAGAGTTCAACTGTTTAAATTACCCAGAAGCAGTTCCTAACGCTGACCTTGCAATTATACATGGAGCTAAAAAACATTAAAGAAATGCATTTGTTTTTAGAGTCAATTACATTTTAAGCAGTAAAGTTTTAGTACTGCTTTAATTTCTATACATCATTATTAATCTAATAGGAGCTTTTAATTTAAACTCGCTCCGCATGTCAATATTTATGTACTCGTGTTGAAAAACTCAAAGTCTACTAGGTCACACTGTTTTCAAGTCTTGCTGTGATGCAGGAAAAAAACTAAACAAATGTTGCTCTTTTATATTTTTTATTCTTGTGCTATGTGCATTTCTATTTCAGTGGTATGAAAACCTCAAATTAAAGTAACGTTCTTTAATACATCAAATATTACTTCATTGTCTGTAAAATCGACCGAGTCGAAGCCATTTTTGGTTTTGCCAAGGTGGATTTCCTGTGGTGGCCATCTTGAATTGGTTTTATACCAACAATTAATCAGCTGTAGATATCCATCTATCCATCCATCCATAATCTTTACCCGATTCTTCCTTTCTGGATCACGGGGGTCACTGGTGTCCATATTCAGCAGTCACTGTATGAGAGTTGGGGGACACCCTGGGCAGGTCTCCAGTCCATCACAGGGACATATAGAGACAAACAAAATGACCATTCACTCTCTCACTCACACCTAGGGACAATTTAGAGTTACCAATCAGCCTAACATGCATGTTTTTCGTATGTGGAGAAAACCCACTCATGCACGGAGAGAACATACAAACTCCACCCAAAATGATGGGCCAGGATTAGATCTGGCAACCTTTTTGCTGAGAGGTGGCAGCTCTACCAACTGCACCACGGTGCCACCCGATATACATCTAATGATTATTTTTAAAGAGTTTCATTAAAATTTGTTCTGTCAAATCTTTAGATCAGAGCATTGATGTTTTACTTGCACTATAACAAATCAGTGGTGAGAAAACCCATTACCAATCAAAAATGTGTTTTCTCATTTTGTAGTTCCTCTCAAATGTATGGAGATATGTAAATTATATTTTTATTATGGTCTTTAATAATTGTTGGAAAAAATGAATACAATTTTTGTTTTAGCATGTAGCAAATAATAGATGATAAAGAACTTAAAGGATTTGTATTCCCTTTAACTGACTCGCACTGAATTAGAAGCATAAAGTCTTGAGAAGAGAAAACTGGTTTTGCAGGAGGGTCCCTGCAGGCGGAGAGGTAAATTACTTCAGACAGTTACACCCTTCAATAAAAAACTGAATAAAGCAATTTTGACTTTATGAATCTGTAAGTAAACCCGCAAATAAGGAAGGAAAACATGCAAGAGTACAGCTACACTCAGTTGTTTTAACTCTCTGGTGTATGGGGACTCGAGGGTATCACACGTGGTTTTCTTAATAGATAACGACTTTGTACACCTGAAGTCAATTCTAAATTGAGTTTTTTTATTTATTTAAGATTGACTTGCAGGAGTGAAACCTAGATCATTTCTTGTTCTGACAGAACTGTATCTGTCAGCACCTGTTGAGAGCCATCCTAACCACTCGAGTAAAGGTGCTGCCTTCCCAGAGTTTATTACAGAGCATCAGAATAACCTTCAGGGCATGAGTCACACCCCAGAAGCAAATACTAGATTCACCCTCTCACTTCCATATTTTCAAATTTATTTTTTACATTCACTATACAGTACATTCATTCGTGTTCTCATCATTTGGACTAATTTTAAGAGAAAATGTGTTTATGTCTGCAAAGTTAAATTAAAAGATAAATGTAATGACAGAGAACATCTAAATGTTTAAACATCTAAAGAGAAACCTCCCATCATTAAACAGGGGCCTCCATGTCCAATTGTCACCTTCTTTACAGTGCTGTTATTGCAAATATCGCTCAGCCCTCTGTGAATAGCAAGCGGCCATCAGGGCACTAATGATGTCGTTAGGCTGAAGGTCCTCCTTTTACATGTGAGCAGTTAGTTTTGGCTGTCACTAGCAATCTGGTTGATTCACTATGAGAAAGTGCTATTTATAAGACGTACAGGTCCTTCTCAAAAAATTAGCATATTGTGATAAAGGTCATTATTTTCCATAATGTAATGATAAAAATGAAACTTTCATATATTTCAGATTCATTGCACACCAACTGAAATATTTCAGGTCTTTAATTGTTTTAATACTGATGATTATGGCATACAGCTCATGAAAACCCAAAATGCCTGTCCCAAAAAATTAGCATATTTCATCCCACCAATAAAAGACAAGTGTTTTTAATACAAAAAACGCCAACCTTCAAATAATCATGTTCAGTTATGCACTCAATACTTGGTCGGGAATCCTTTTGCATGAATGACTGCTTCAATGCGGCGTGGCATGGAGGCAATCAGCCTGTGGCACTGCTGAGGTGTTATGGAGGCCCAGGATGCTTCGATAGCGGCCTTAAGCTCATCCAGAGTGTTGGGTCTTGCGTCTCTCAACTTTCTCTTCACAATATCCCACAGGTTCTCTATGGGGTTCAGGTCAGGAGAGTTGGCAGGCCAATTGAGCACAGTAATACCATGGTCAGTAAACCATTTACCAGTGGTTTTGGCACTGTGAGCAGGTGCCAGGTTGTGCTGAAAAATGAAATCTTCATCTCCATAAAGCTTTTCAGCAGATGGAAGCATGAAGTGCTCCAAAATCTCCTGATAGCTAGCTGCATTGACCCTGCCCTTGATAAAACACAGTGGACCAACACCAGCAGATGACATGGCACCCCAGTGACTGTGGAAACTTGACACTTGACCTCAAGCAATGTGAATTCTGTGTCTCCTCTCTTCCTCCAGACTCTGGGACCTTGATTTCCAAAGGAAATGCAAAATTTACTGTAATCAGAGAACATAACTTTGGACCACTCAGCAGCAGTCCCAGGTGAGATGCTTCTGACGCAGTCTCTTGTTCAAAAGTGACTTGACCTGGGGAATGCGGCACCTGTAGCCCATTTCCTGCACACGCCTGTGCACGGTGGCTCTGGATGTTTCTACTCCAGACTCAGTCCACTGCTTCCGCAGGTCCCCCAAGGTCTGGAATCGGCCCTTCTCCACAATCCTCCTCAGGGTCCGGTCACCTCTTCTCGTTGTGCTGCGTTTTCTGCCACACTTTTCCCTTCCCACAGACTTCCCACTGAGGTGCCTTGATACAGCACTCTGGGAACAGCCTATTCGTTCAGCAATTTCTTTCTGTGTCTTACCCTCTTGCTTGAGGGTGTCAATGATGGCCTTCTGGACAGCAGTCAGGTCGGCAGTCTTACCCATGATTGCGGTTTTGAGTAATGAACAAGGCTGGGAGTTTTTAAAAGCCTCAGGAATCTTTTGCAGGTGTTTAGAGTTACGTCGTTGATTCAGATGGTTAGGTTAATAGCTTGTTTAGAGAACCTTTTCATGATATGCTAATTTTTTGGGACAGGCATTTTGGGTTTTCATGAGCTGTATGCCATAATCATCAGTATTAAAACAATTAAAGACCTGAAATATTTCAGTTGGTGTGCAATGAATCTGAAATATATGAAAGTTTCATTTTTATCATTACATTATGGAAAATAATGACCTTTATCACAATATGCTAATTTTTTGAGAAGGACCTGTAAATGTATTTATCTGTGGCCTGGTGTGTTTCAAATGATTGATTTAGTTTTGTATTATTCACAAACAAAGCATGCTTTATTGCTAAATATTTCCATCCATCCATCCATTTTCTTTACCCGTTTATTCCATTTTGGGTCACGGGGGTCGCTGGTGCCCATGTCCAGCAATCACTGTGCGAGGGGCGGGGTACACCCTGGACAGGTCGCAAGTCCATCACAGGGACACATAGAGACAAACGAGACAAACAACCATTCACTCTCTCACTCACACCTAGGGACAATTTAGAGTTACCAATCAGTCTAACATGCATGTTTTTGGTCTGTGGGAGGAAACCGGAGTACCCGGAGAAAACCCACGCATGCACCGAGAGAACATGCAAACTCCACCCAGAAAGGCCCCTGGACCGGGGTTTGAACCAAGGACCTGCTCGCTGAGAGGCAGCAGCTCTACCAGTTGTGCCACCGTGCTGCCCTGCTAAACATTTATTTTTTATTATTTTTGGTTTCATTTTTTTAAAGTGCTGCCAAAGAAAAAAAATTAATTACAAGCTTTTTTCTTAACCAAACAAAAAAAAATGTTTTTACAGGATTGGTTGGATTTGTATTATCAGTCGAATGTTTGGACACACCTGCTTTTCAGTGTATTTGATGTTTTAAACTTGCATGTCAATTTGTTTTCCAAAACTTATATATTATATGATTGATTTGCATGTGAGACTGGTTCAAATAATGGGGTAATCCTACTGTTTGTTCCTAAAGCACAAGTTTTAAAATCATAGTATTTGTGGTCATTTTCTTCCATCTATCCAGCCAGCCATCCATTCGTCATGTTTGTTAAAAGGTCCATTTAGCTGCTGCTCCAATGGTTTCTGGCCAAGGTCAAGGGTCTCAACTCACCTTGGCCCAAAATCTCAACACACCTGAGGTTCACAACCAAAAACACTTGGATGAAACCATGTTTTTGTAAGATTTTGTTTGATATAATCTAATCTAACATTAA